GGTAATATCGTAATAAATATCTACCACAATATAGTAATGGTAAATATCTTAATAAATACCTACCACAATATAGTAATGGTAAATATCGTAATAAATATCTACCACAATATAGTAATGGTAAATATCTTAATAAATACCTACCACAATATAGTAATGGTAAATATCTTAATAAATACCTACCACAATATAGTAATGGTAAATATTGTAATAAATATCTACCACAATATAGTAATGGTAAATATCCTAATAAATACCTACCACAATATAGCAATGGTAAATATCCTAATAAATACCTACCACAATATAGTAATGGTAAATATCGTAATAAATATCTTCCACAATATAGTAATGGTAAATATCGTAATAAATATCTTCCACAATATAGTAATGGTAAATATCGTAATAAATATCTACCACAATATAGTAATGGTAAATATCTTAATAAATACCTACCACAATATAGTAATGGTAAATATCGTAATAAATACTTACCACAATATAGTAATGGTAAATATCTTAATAAATATCTACCACAATATAGTAATGGTAAATATCTTAATAAATATCTACCACAATATAGTAATGGTAAATATCGTAATAAATATCTACCACAATATAGAAATGATAATATCGTAATAAATATCTACCACGATATAGTAATGGTAAATATCGTAATAAATATCATGATATAGAAATAGTAAATTTTGCCATAAATACCTACCACAACATAGTAATGGTAAATATCTTAATAAATACCTACCACAACATAGTAATGGTAAATATCGTAATAAATATCTACCACAACATAGTAATGGTAAATATCTTAATAAATACCTACCACAATATAGTAATGGTAAATATCTTAATAAATACTTACCACAATATAGTAATGGTAAATATCGTTATAAATAACTACCACGATATAATAACGGTAAATGTAGTAATAAATATCTTCCACAATATAGTAATGGTAAATATCTTAATAAATATCTTCCACGATATAGTAATGGTAAATATCGTAATAAATATCTTCCACAATATAGTAATGGTAAATATCGTAATAAATATCTACCACAATATAGTAATAGTAAATATCGTTATAAATGTCTACCACAATATAGTGATGGTAAATATCGTAATAAATATCTACCACAATATAGTAATAGTAAATATCGTTATAAATGTATAGCACAATATAGTGATGGTAAATATCGTAATAAATATCTACCACAATATAGTAATGGTAAATATCGTTTTAAATGTATAGCACAAGATAGTAATGATAATATCGTAATAGATAGCTATCACTATATAGTAATGATATATACCGTAAAAATATCTAAAACGATAAATAGTGGTAAATATACCATAAAAATATCTAAAACGATAAATAATGGTAAATATACCGTAAAAATATCTAAAACGATAAATAATGGTAAATATACGTAAAAATATCTAAAACGATAAATAATGGTAAATATACCGTAAAAATATCTAAAACGATAAATAATGGTAAATATAGTATAAATATCTATCACAACATAGTTATTATAAACATCGTAATAAATACCTACCACAATATAGTAATGGTAATATCGTAGTAAATATCTACCACGATATAGTAATGGTAAATATTGTAATAAATATCTACCACAATATAGTAATGGTAAATATCTTAATAAATATCTACAACGATATAGTTGTGGTAAATATCGTTATAAATAACTACCACGATATAATAACGGTAAATGTAGTAATAAATATCTACCACGATATAGTTGTGGTAAATATCGTTATAAATAACTACCACGATATAATAACGGTAAATGTAGTAATAAATATCTACGATATAATAATGGTAAATATCATATAAATATTTACCACGATATAGTTGTGGTAAATATCGTTATAAATAACTACCACGATATAATAACGGTAAATGTAGTAATAAATATCTTCAACGATATAGTCATGGTAAATATCGTAATACATATCGACTACGTTATAGAAATGGTTAATATAGTAATAATTACCTACCACGATATAATAATGGCAAATATCGAAATAAATACCACGATATAGTAATGGTAAATATCGTAATAAATACCAACAATGATATAATAATGGTAAATACCGTAAAAATATCTACGATATAATAATGGTAAATATCATATAAATATTTACCACGATGAAGTTATGATAAATAAATAGAAAATATCTACAACGATATAATGATGGGAAATATCTACCACGATATAGTAATAGTAAATATAGTAATATTTATCTACCACAATATAGTAACTGTAAATACTGGAATAAATTTGTACCACAATATAGTAATGGTAAATATCTTAATAAATACTTACCACAATATAGTAATGGTAAATATCGTAATAAATACTTACCACAATATAGTAATGGTAAATATCGTAATAAATACCTTCCACAATATAGTAATGGTAAATATCGTAATAAATATCTTCCACAATATAGTAATGGTAGATATCGTAATAAATACTTACCACAATATAGTAATGGTAAATATCTTAATAAATACTTACCACAATATAGTAATGGTAAATATCTTAATAAATACTTACCACAATATAGTAATGGTAAATATCGTAATAAATATCTTCCACAATATAGTAATGGTAAATATCGTAATAAATACTTACCACAATATAGTAATGGTAAATATCGTAATAAATATCTTCCACAATATAGTAATGGTAAATATCGTAATAAATATCTTCCACAATATAGTAATGGTAAATATCGTAATAAATATCTTCCACAATATAGTAATGGTAAATATCGTAATAAATATCTTCCACGATATAGCAATGGTAAATATCGTAATAAATATCTACCACAATATAGTAATGGTAAATATCGTAATAAATATCTACCACAATATAATAATGGTAAATATCGTAATAAATATCTACCACAATATAGTAATGGTAAATATCGCAATTAAAATCTACAACGATGAATTATGGTAAATATCGTATAAATATCTACCACGATATAGTTATTGTAAATATCGTAATAAATATCTATCACGATATAGTAATGGTAAATATTGTAATACATATCTTCGAAGATAAAGAAATAATGAAGGTCCGACGATACAGTAGTTGTACATATCTAGATAAATGCACCCTTCTACAATATATTACTGGTACATATCGAGATAAATACACCCTTCAACAATATATGATGACTGCTACATATCGGGATAAATACACCCTTCAACAATATATGACTGCTACATATCGGGATAAATACACCCTTCAACAATATATGACTGCTACATATCGGGATAAATACACCCTTCAACAATATATGATGACTGCTACATATCGGGATAAATACACCCTTCAACAATATATGACTGCTACATATCGGGATAAATACACCCTTCAACAATATATGACTGGTACATATCGGGATAAATACACCCTTCAACAATATATGACTGGTACATATCGGGATAAATACACCCTTCAACAATATATGACTGGTACATATCGGGATAAATACACCCTTCAACAATATATGACTGCTACATATCGGGATAAATACACCCTTCAACAATATATGACTGGTACATATCGGGATAAATACACCCTTCAACAATATATGACTGGTACATATCGGGATAAATACACCCTTCAACAATATATGACTGGTACATATCGGGATAAATACACCCTTCAACAATATATGACTGCTACATATCGGGATAAATACACCCTTCAACAATATATGACTGCTACATATCGGGATAAATACACCCTTCAACAATATATGACTGCTACATATCGGGATAAATACACCCTTCAACAATATATGACTGGTACATATCGAGATAAATACACCCTTCAACAATATATGACTGCTACATATCGTGATAAATACTACAACCATAATATATGACTGGTACATATCGGGATAAATACACCCTTCAACAATATATGACTGCTACATATCGTGATAAATACTACAACCATAATATATTACTAGTATGCAGTTCATAATATCTCGACAATATGAAGATGTCTGCATCTTTGTACACAATACACATTTCACGGTGTTTGTTTCACTTCGGTGTTCCCGTTGTACATCTATTTACAACAACAGCTTGGTATCTCCGACCTGCGATATCTATTTCATACGATACGTTTAAATCATTTACAAAGTCTTGCATACCCAGTCCGTGTTCCTTGTTAATGATAAACCCTAAACATCCCATTTTCTCTGAGCTGAATCCATAAGCACAACTCGAGGTTTTCCCAACAAATTCGCCCTGCCTGAATAATGGCTCTCCACCCCACGGCCACGAGTCTTTCTGAATATCGAAGCTCTCTAATGAAAATTGAACTAAACTCTCTTGGACTCCTTTCTGTTCAAGTTCCATCACAGACTCCTTTCCTATGAAATCATCCTGGAATGGAAATGAATTATGTAATACCTTGACATCATTAGGAACTTTTCTTGTAGCACAATTGCAGGGGCGTATCTAGAAAATGTCCGAGGATAGGCAAATATGAGAGCTGATGTCCCTTGAGGGCGGGGGCCTTTGAGTTTCCAGGGGCCACAGTAGGCCAACAGATTTCAGATGGCCTGTGATGAAATTTTAGATTGCTTGATTTACACTTCGAAATACGACCTTTCACAGACTTGCCAATGTCCAACCCCCTAAATACGTCACTGAAGGTTTGTTTGTAAATGCTGCGGTTTGATTGGATTGTACCCTGGCCGAAACAGCTAATCAGAGCCCTCAATAGAAAGACTATAGGCCTAATCAAAAAGGCCATATTATTTTTTAGGGGTAATATTTTGACATTGTGAAAATGGGGTTAGTAATGATCACGCATTACCTTATTGAGATCCACCTGATGTGAAAGACCACATTCTAACGGTGAAGAATGTGAGTTAAATTCACTTCCCCACTGTCCTTGACCTTGTTCTATTGCTAAGTGACGTAATACAAGATGGCCGACGTTCTGTATATGCAGACTTTGTCCTGCCTCCATTAATAGATTATATATTTTGAGTGAATGCTGAAAAATATTAATTAGAATAAATACATGTATCATTATTAAATTTCGCACGTGGATCTTTGCAATGCAATTTGCTGTTGAAATGTTAACGCTATATATCAGATGAAAATACAGATAGGCCTTGTTAAATGTCGATATCCCTTTAAAACAAAGACCATGGACACACACATTAGCATATTAAAAGACTTAAATATTATTCAAATTTGCGCATTCTTGCACTCAATTTTTAATTGTTGTTATTGGGAAAATCGTGCAAATTTTTGTAAGGGTTTAATGGTTATTTTTTAACAATTTTAGCCAATTTGTGCATCCACATTCTTATTCACAAAAACAATAGGCCCTAATGCAAATTAGCATATCTTTGTAGGCCCTACTGAAATTTGTTTTTCAAACAAAATCACGATGCAATTTAGAACGTATTTGCGCTCGCATCATTAATTACAAAATCATTATGCAAATAGTCAAAGCAATTAGGCCTACCCTTCAATGGTTAGAAATAGGGGCAATAATTTCAGTTGCTTAGTGCACTCCAAAATATCTTGATGCAAATTCTTGCAAATGTTTATTTGTTAATAGTTGATTAATAGATACTGTATAGTTTTACCTGTACAGGTGTATAAAGAATAAAACAATCTGCTAGACCATGTTTCAATCTAACTATTCGTACATTCTGTATACCTTCCATATTGACTACCTGTAATACCATCAATAAACAAAAACACTGAAATAGCTACAAGTTCAATCACATTGTCCTGCTGGATGAAAACTCAGTGGCGGCGCCAGTTGGGGTACAGGGGAGGCATTTACCCCCCCCCCCCCCCTTTTTTTAGAAAAGTTGTATACACCCCCACTTTATTTTCAACAAATCTAAATGTCTACATTTTTTCTCCAAAACATGTGTCAGAATGCACAAAATCAATTCATTTTTTGTAAAAATTTCCTTGAGAGAACTCTCTAAGGCGCTTTATGAGAGGCTTTCGACTATGACACCACCACAGAGTAGTCAAAATTTGAATTCAGTCGCAGCAGTTGGCCCCCCATTGAGTTGGTTGGTAGATGGCAGGTTAACGTTCGCTTCCAGCGGATGCTGATATCGCAAACTAGGTAGTTCCCCATTGAGTCAGTCTGCCCCCTATCGATATCCCTAGTCTTGGAAGACTGGGGCCGCCACTGTGAAAGCTTAAAGGAGTGGAGTGAAGGATTGGACAAAAAGGCGCGGTCCAAAGTCCTAGAAGGGTCAAGACACCGTTTCTCAAAAGATAACGTAAATCTACGAAAACGTTAGCAATTATATTTGATCAAATCACTGCATTTACAAACTGATACAAGACAGGTGTCTATCGCAGTCTAGGTATTAGACACAGTTAGTTCTAGACATTATGAAGATGTACCTTACCATGGAAGTATGTTGCTGGAAATGAGACTGTGACGTAGAAATATCAGCGACCATCGAGAGTAAAGACTGAGCGTGTGGACCAATCATTTTAATACCAGAATACACGGAAGTGACGTCACTGACTTGAACCGAACCGCCAGCTGGTAAATGTCTTCGTAACCATGACAATGCTCGTGTCTGTTGAGTTGCAGGACATGTGAGGAAATATCTATCAATGAAATAATATCAGATGAAATAGATAAAAAAAAAAACATTTTTAGAAAGCTCTGGCAGGAATTTACGCAATTTAACTTTAATTCACAATTGTAAAAATATGGGATTGAAACCGAAAAGCTGAAAGGTACGACAGGGGCAAGTTGGAAACAATTCAATGTCAGTAAATTGCCATCGTTTCCTTATCAAGCCGGTCCTTCTCCACCCATCTCTAACAATTCTTAATCATTGTTTTTTCACCCACAGTAATTAATTTAATCTACTAGCTTTATGTTCTGCAGCCAATCTCTATTTTTTTTATTGAATTTGAAAATGTGTCGAAAGCGGGTTGAGGGCATGCTCGTTCTTCTTAAATACGTGTCCGAGACAGACTGTATCTACAGATGAATGTCTGGGACAAACCATCAGTTTCATCTGTCGGAGTCTATAGATAGGGATGGGCTTCGCGGACTATCGAAACTCCTGATGTTACATTGTTACTGTGATAGTCAATTCTATATCTCTTACGGAGAGTTCACATAGTTAATATCGTTTCTTTGGTTTACTCATATTCATATTTAGTACCATAGGCACACAATTAATTTCGAATTATTCTTCTTTACCTGTTTTGGTCACACACCACAACAGATGCCTGATTTTCGATTCCACCATTTTGGTTGAGGAGTGTGGTGCAGACGACATTGCCTTGTCCAACATTGACGTCATTACTACATAGATACTGAAGATATTCCAGAGCTTCGTTTCCAGCAGACTGAAATACAGACCATAATTAATCTAATATTATCTCCCTTGACACACTAACAGAAGACAATTCAGTCAGACCACAGTACATATGTCATTATCTCCCTTGACGCACTAAGAGGAGACAATTCAATCAGACCACAGTTATCTTAATATTAATTTCTCTTGATGCACTAATGGGAGACAATTCAGTCAGACCACACTTAACTTTTCATTATTTCTCTTGCCACACGAATGAGATACAACTCAGTCAGACCACGGTTATCTTATTATTAATCTCTCTTGGCGCACTAATGGGAGATAATTCAGTCAGACTCCAGTTAACTTATCATTATCTCTCTTGACGCACGAATGGAAGACAATTCAGCCAGACCACAGTAAATATATCATTATCTCCCTTGACACACTAATGGGAGATAATAAAGATTTTAATCCTCTTCCCCTACCACTTCCCCTGTCTTCTCCTACCTCAAAACTTTGTGATAGTCTATGTTTAAACCGTACGTTCAGATTACTAAAATAGTGGTCTTTGACTCACCCTAATTTCTAGTTTGGTTTGAGCTGATATATCAACCAGTCCTACAGCATCTTTACAAACCCTGTATTCATGTTGTACTGAATCAAACCACACTGGTTTACCAAATGATCCTTTATGAATATACAATTCTAGGTCTGTAATGAAAAGGAACAACCATATTTTACACAGAATACAATAATAAAATGATACTTTAATTGTTCTTATTTACATTGGGCACAGCGTTACAATAATTATACAATCAGATTCAAATATGATATTACATTATCTCGTTGATCCTTTCATTCGTGTGCTGACCTCAACTATGTAGGGGCCATCAATTTGTTAATAATTGAGAACTGAAATGCATAGTACTGTGAGCCCCCTTGATAATTCTGTGGCCTCTAATCGTTCCCTACAATTAAACACTTTTATTTTAATATAAATAAACTTAATATGGATTCTTATTTAAATCTATGTAATCTAATCGAAGAGGAACCACACAAAAGATGATAAAGCTCTCAATTGGTATATAATTTAATGATATAACCTGATTTATCACGACTGCTATCAAACCACAGGGGTTGTTCACATGCCATGGTCTGACCAAAAACAGCCCCCGAGCTCTGTAAGACATCATGTAATGGCGTGGTCTGCAGTTTTCTACCAGTAGATTGTTCTGCTTGAGGGAAACTCAAACTGTACTGTTTCCCTGTTATAAAACAACAGTTTCATTTTTATGATTGCTTTTTCGACAGAATTCATTTTGAATATTTTGAGATATAGAAACAGATTAAAAACGTCATGAAGATAAAATGTGCGAAAATTTGACTATCTTTTAAAAGTTAATTCGACTATTTTCAAGCTACTAGCAATTGAAATTTATAAAACGGAAACAAATCCCTCTATTGACATTGATTAAGTTTTATTTTACAAAATCTAATAAATCTGTGTAAGAAAATATAACGAATTGATTTGTACATGGTTTGTGATATTTTGATTCTGGCGCACGTAGATATGAAGGGAAACTTTCGAGTTTGAAATCCACCACCCTCTCTCTAATACTATCTATATTCCGGCTCTAACTCATGAGAGCTATATTACCAAACTCACCTAAAACTTCACTAACCCTGTCCTTTAAGAAGCTGTTATTATTATGCTGTTTGGTGAATCTACGGACATCGTATTTCCAGAGATTTATACTGGGTCTACCATCAATAATCCACTCAGCCATATATTTACCTATACCACCACTACTGATTATTCCCCTTGAATTCATTCCAGCAGCCACGTAATAATTACTAATCTGAAACAATCAGACTAGATACTAGACAAAGGCCGTTTCCCGCATTGCTCACCGCTTGATGTTGCTCAATCAGGTACAGACAAGTAGAACGTTAGACTCAATTCAATTTCATTTTATATAGTGAAGGTACCACTCCTTTCATAATGATACCACCCCCCCCCGCCCCCCTCCCCCAATGAGCACTACTTATGTTGATCTTGTACGCTGCCTAGCGATGTCCATACAGTCACAGCAAATCAGGAAGTTCATTTCATTTCCTATAGTGATAAATGTAAGGGGAGTAGGGGATTTAAAGTGATGAAGTTACATCCCCTTTCCTAATCCCCCCCCCCCCTCGCATCTGAAAATATGTCTCTCCATGAGTAGGATTTCACTTGTTCAAGTCCATAATTGTACACTGAACTTAATTTCAAAGAAACTTCCTGAAAATGGAATTTATAACCGACAAATATGTTGATATTATTAAATATATCCTGTCTATTAGCTCATTTGGAAATGGATCATTTCTCACCTCTGGTGTTTCCCCTAGCAACCAATTAGAATCAGGCGTAAAACTTTCCGGACCGTTCACAAGTTGTCGAATTTCAGCTTTCTGCATGATCGGTAAACGGTGTAGACATTCATCCATTAGTACCTCTAATATAATATAATAATATACATCTTACTTATGTACACTCTATCACCGGGCACCTGTCATTTTATAATAACTTTTGGTGACTCTGCTTGATCTTGTGACTGACAGAATCTGAGAACAACTTGATTTTTAAATGTCTGTTGAGAGAGTATGATTAATCGTTGGATTTTGTCGACCTGGCAAAACAATCATAATTCCTGCCACTTGCCACCAGAAAGACGTCTTAGTTTAGCAGAATCTATCAGAGAAACTGGATTTTGAACGAATGCTTGCAGCTGGAGGAATTTAGGAGAATCTGATTAATCTCCATGTACATCGTTGTTCTGGTGACATTGAAGAAACGAACCGAAATCCATGATTGTACAAAGCAAAACAGACACAGGTTAAAGATTAAAGTCTATCAATCAAAAAGAATTAAAGCTTCAGAAATAGACAAATGCTCGTTGTACTGGTGTTGGACAGGTCCCCCATTCCCCCTTCTACTTCCTTTATTTAAACTTTGAATTGTTGAATAGGTAAACTAACTTACGAAAATGATCCCAATCTTCTGGTAAGAGTTGAAACTCAAATTTATCAGGAACACCGGTATGGAAACAAGGTTTGGAATTGGGTTCGAATCCCCCAATACACAATCCACCGTTCCATTCTCGTATAAAAATATTACCATCGTAGTCTCTGATAACTACAAATTACATTGGAATCAGACTCGTAATCAGAATTAATTGTTGGACGGGCTAGTAATATAGAGGGTGTTAAGTTGCAGGAATGAAATTATTTATATTATTAAACATTCTGTTATCAGAAACTAAAATACACAATACTAAGAACTCTGGTGAGTAAGACTTTCCATTTACAAATCGAAAAATCTTGCTTTAGGAAGCGACAGGCAAAAACAAAACTTTCGGGCAAAAGTACCCGGGTCGTCTGAGGTTTTGATATAAAAGGGGTCAGTATCACAAAAGGTAGGTCGTAAACTTGCAACGATCGTAAGCTTTGTGAAACCGGCCTCAGGTTCAATTCAAAGTCCTCCTAAGTCATGCCTTTAATCGAGGCCACTTGCTTATGTCAGACGTTCTAGCACCGTTAAACAAGACAGTAATATAATCTTACCCGGCATCAACCTCTCCACCTCTTTCAATGGTTTCGTGACGACGTAAAAATGTTCACAGGAGTGTAGGGGCAAGGATACATTGGGCGTGCTCTTTATTCCCATCTCTCTCGCCCACTGAAATATTACAATAATATATACATAATATTTACCAATGCAACCATAAAATTCAGGATCTACCAAAGTCTCGTTCTTATTATTCTAACCAATCAAAGCGTGTATTTGAAGGACCCGTTTCTTGATATCAATGACGAATTGTAGGATAGCAAAACTAAAAGAGACTGTCATATTTCTCTACTGTGGGCTTCGTTATCCCACAATCCATTTCGACCTATGTTCATAAATCAGGGCAATTTGGATATTCACCGATATACTACCGGAAGATTTAGATCCATTTCAACATTAATATACCATCAAGTTTGTCCTACATATCAATATGATATAGCGTGACGGTATATCAATAGAACATAGCGTGACGGTAGATCAATAGGACATATTTGACGGTAGATCAAAAGGACATAGCGTGATGGTAGATCAATAGGACATAGCGTGGTGGTATAGCAATACGACATAGCGTGACGGTATATCAGTAGGACATAGCGTAACGGTATATTAATAGGACATATTTAACGGTAGATCAATAGGATATAGCGTGGTGGTATAGCAATAAGACATAGCGTGACAGTATATCAATAGGACATAGCGTGGCGGTATAGCAATACGACATAGCGTGACGGTATATCAGTAGGACATAGCGTGGCAGTATATCAATAGGACATAGCGTGACGGTATATCAGAGGGACATAGCGTGACGGTATATATCAATGGGACAGATCGTGGCGGTATATCAATGTGACAGACAGTGACAGTATATCGTATGGACATAGCGTGACGGTATATCAGAGGTACATAGCGTGACGGTATATATCAATGGGACAGAGCGCGGCGGTATATCAATGTGACAGACAGTGACGGTATATCGTATGGACACAGCGTGACGGCATATTAATATGACAGAGAGTAATGGTATATCAATAATAGAACAGATACATCAATAGTACATTGCGTGACGGTATAGCAATAATGGTACATATTGTGACGGTATATTAATATGACTGAGAGTGATGGTATCCATAGGACAGAGAGTGACACAGCGTGACGGTATATCTATATGTCATGGCGTTACGGTATATCTATATTATGCCAAAGCCTGACGGTATATCAATATCACATAGCGTGATTGTATATGCGTATGTTAGTCCTGATTCTAAATCTATATAACACAACTTGACGGTATGGCTATGTGTGGTGGTATATTTATAGAACATAGCGTGGTGGTATATTTATATGCCATAGCGTGATTATATATCTATATGGCATATATATATTTTATATCTGTATGTTAGTTGTGATTCTAAATCGATATAACACAACTTGACGGTATGCCATCGCGTGAGGGTATTTTAATGGGACATGTGGTGACTATTGTTACCTGTCCTCTTTCCTTTTCTGGTTAAACCGTGCATAAAGACTCATACCTACCAACCCGCCACAGTTAACAAAATATTCACAATCAATATTGCCATCTGAAGTTTCTACTCCTGTCACTCGATCATTTTTAGTTAAAATCTTCTCCACTTTTACACCTTCCATAAACTTGGCACCTGAAAGAAAACGTTTTAATGTTTACGTTTGTAATGTAGATGTCGATTGACATAAAAAGGTCTAGACTATTGATAAAGGGAAGGCGGGTCGATAACCTAGGCATATTCTATGATTCAATAACATATAGTAGCTACCTCGTGGGACTGGGAGTACAAATAGGGGACAGACTGACTCAATGGGGGACAACTGTCGAGGCTGATTTTAAATTGAGGCGACTCTTAGGAGGCGAGTTGCCGTCAGCCTCTCGTGGAGCGTATAAAATGGTTCCCCTGAGAAAATTTCGAAAAATTTAATTGATTTGCTGCATTTGGACACATATTTTGAGGCAAAAACGTATAAAAATCATACTTTTTAAATTTGTTAAAGAATAAAGTGGGGGTACAATTGGGGGTGCAAACCATTTTCGAGGGGGGCAAATCCCCTCCTCCCCACTAGCACCGCCACTGATTACATATAGAAATAGACATAGAACTGAATAATAACATGGACAGTTACAATGAAATGAATTGGTCGTTTAAGACTGACAACAATAAAACTATTGTTCACGAACTCCTATCATTAAATAAAGTGTTCGCATTATTACAAATATAAACATTTCTTAATGTTCGAAACAACACCATGCTCGCTTATCCACAAAACTTCGAAACAACGCCATGTACGCTTGTCCACAAAACTTCGAAACAACGCCATGTACGCTTGTCTACAAAACTTCGAAACATCGCCATGTACGCTTGTCCACAAAACTTCGAAACAACGCCATGTACGCTTGTCTACAAAACTTCGAAACAACGCCATGTACGCTTGTCCACAAAACTTCGAAACAACACCATGCACGCTTGTCCACAAAACTTAGAAACAACACCATGCACGCTTGTCCACAAAACTCCGAATCAACACCATGCACGCTTGTCCACAAAACTTCGAAACAACGCCATGTACGCTTGTCTACAAAACTTCGAAACAACTCCATGTACGCTTGCCTACAAAACTTCGAAACAACTCCATGCACGCTTGTCCACAAAACTTCGAAACAACACCATGCACGCTTGTCCACAAAACTTCGAAACAACGCCATGCACGCTTTTCTACAAAACTTCGAAACGAGAAACTGTAAGATGCGGCTATTGTATCAAGGTAAAAGTACGATGTCATGGCTAAACTAAAGACTTACCATTTTTCTTTGCTAGCTTAGAGAAAACCATAGCAACATCAGGGGCTGTAACTGCTCCATCAGTCGGCATCCAAATACCTCCCTGAAAATTGATATCAACAACTTTATTTCAGGTACGATACAACTGTCAGATTTCAGCTAATAGGTGACAGAATAAACATGAAGGAAAACTCTGATGTATGTATGTCATGGTCTAGTCATACAGTACAATTTCGAATATCATTCACATCCATACACAGTGCGCACCTATGTTTTTGTTTATCCTTGTGTTAATCTATGTAAAATGAAAAGAAATGTAGGAGTGCGGCCAGGCCAGCCCTGACTGTATAATTGTACTGAATTCTCCACATTACCTGTAAATCATCTGTTCTGATCACAGGACATTTTTCTTGAATTTCTCTCGACGTCAATAAATGAGTTTCGAACCCACTGGCCCTGAATTGCAAATTTGTTTGATGACAATGAATGTATTTGGTTTGTTTGAAACTTTCAAATGAATTAATAAATAGACCAAAAGGTTCTGGCGGGTGTTCTTAATCATTAAGACGATGCCTACTATTTCAGAACACCCGATGTCACTTAGTATACCACTCGAAGAGTCAAAATAGCAAAAGGTGTTGGTGATGTATAGTGTTGGTGATGCAGAGTGTTGATGATGTCATGGGTGATGTATGGTGTTGGCGATGTATGGCGCTGGTGATGTATGGTGTTGGCGATGTATGATGTTGGTGATGTATGGCGCTGGTGATGTATGGTGTTGGTGATGTATGGTGTTGGTGATGTATGATGTTGGTGATATATGGTGTTGGTGATGTATGGCGCTGGTGATATATGATGCTGGTGATTTATGGTGTTGGTGATATATTTTGTTGGTGATGTATGGTGTTGGTAATGTATGGTGTTGGTGATGTATGGTGTTGGTGATGTATGATGTTGGTGATATATGGTTTTGGTGATATATGGTGTTGGTGATGTATGATGTTGGTGATATATGGTTTTGGTGATATATGGTTTTGGTGATATATGGTGTTGGTGATATATGATGTTGGTGATATATGATGTTGGTGATATATGATGTTGGTGATATATGATGTTGGTGATATATGATGTTGGTGATATATGGTGCTGGTAATGTCTGGTGTTGGTGATATATGATGTTGGTGTTGGTGATATAGGGTGTTGGTGATATATGTTGTTGGTGGTGTTGGTGACATATGATGTTTGTGATGTATGGTGTTAGGGATGTATGGTGTTGGTGATGTATGGTGCTGGTGATATATGGTGTTGGCGATGTATGGTGTTGGCGATGTATGGTGCTGGTGATATATGGTGTTGGCGATGTATGGTGTTGGTGATGTATGGTGCTGGTGATATATAGTTTTGGTGATGTCTGGTGTTGGTGATGTTTGGCGCTGGTGATGTATGGTTCTGGTGGTATGGCGCTGGTGATGTATGATGTTGGTGATGTATGGCGCTGGTGATGTATGTCGCTGGTGATGTATGGTGTTGGTGATGTATGGTGTTGGTGGTGTATGGTGTTGGTGATGTATGGTGTTGGTGATGTATGGTTTAGTGATATTTGATATTGGTAATGTTTGCTGTTGGTGATGTATGGTGTTGGTGATGTTTGCTGTTGGTGATGTTTGCTGTTGGTGACATATGGTGTTTGTGATGTATGGTGTTGGGGAAGTATGGTGTTGGTGATGTATGGTGTTGGGGATGTGTTGGTGTTGGTGATATAGGGTGTTGGTGATATATGTTGTTGGTGGTGTTGGTGACATATGATGTTTGTGATGTATGGTGTTAGGGATGTATGGTGTTGGTGATGTATTGTGTTGGTGATATATGGTGCTGGTGATGTATGGTGTTGGGGGTGTATGGCGCTGGTAATATATGGTGTTCTTGGTGATATGTGGTGTTGTTGGTGATATATGGTGTTGGTGGTGTATGGTGTTGGTGATATTGTGGTGTTGATGATATATGTTGTTGGCAATTTCAGGCGATGTTAGGTGTTAGCGGAGGTAGGAATAGACCTACTTGGTTATAGCATGCTTCCTCTGAAAATCTGTCATTCTATCTTTAGTTCTAGCTAAACTGATACTACCACTGTCCTTCCAACCTGATAAATATACAGAAATAAAAAATACCTGTAGAACAGTGACTTGAGAAGAGGGTAATCCATATTGACGCCGGTGGTTCTAGTAAGTCAAGACAAATAGTTTACCAGATTTTGACATAAATATTGTCTATATCAATCTAGCCATAATCTGTTTGAATGGATACGAAACGTGAACGACAAAGGGCATTCAAAACTCGTTTTGGCAATACGGTGAGCTCATACTTGGATCAAAACCTATGCCAGTGCTTCTATTCGCTTTTAATCTCAAAAACTAATACCAAGCATACTATAGATATCAGTCGAAATAAAATTAAACCTAACTTCCGTTCGTATTTTATCAGTTTCGTTTCGAATAATTTATTAGCTATAACATTCGAAACGAAACTAATAAAATACGAAGTTAGGTCTCATTTTTTAAACTGACTTAGACATTGAAGGGATGGAGATTTTCTTGGTTTTTAAGGTCATCATCAAGTTAAAATGTGCAATAAACCTTGAAGTAGTTTACCATAATTTTGTGCTCTTCCATTGAGAATATATGATCTATATACCTACCGACCCCATGGCCTTCCTCTTCAAATTTTTTATATAAATCTCTACCATAACATGTTATCTTCATTTCTGTTAGATCACTGCGAAGTTGTCCACATAAACCAACCGAGTGCCATGTCGTACCACATGTTAATCTGGAATATAAACTAAAACATTTTGCGAGAGTCCACATAGCTTTTTAAAACAAGACTCTTAACAATCCCTGCTGAAATTCTTCTTTTTCTTCTCTAGGACTTTTGATATTTGGTTATATCAAGATTTTTAATCAAATCGGCAAACGATTAGGATATATGCGCAGTTGACTGGCATCCCCTTTCGCACTAAAATCACCCAAAAACAACATAACTTAATGTCCAGTCTCATAATGTTTGACAGTTGAATATAGAAACAGAGTATGACACTGTCTTTTTAAGATTTCAATTATTAGGTCTACACTCCTCTGTCCTTCTCCACGTCTCCATTAGCCCACATGGTGCAGAAAAGTAGGACGTAAAACTCATTTCATTTTGTCTTTCTTCATTCTTCTAAACGCAGAATAGTATGACGTAAAACACTATTTAAACACCTTACCTCCCCTGTTCTAGTAACACAATGTCGTTCCAGCCTCGTTCTGATAAATGATATGCTATACTGGGTCCAATAATACCCCCGCCACCAATCACAACCCGTGCTGACTTCGGCAATTGAGGCACTTCCGGTTTTAAAGTGTTGTTTGATTGGCTGGAATAATGGTACCGAGAGGTTAGATTGTTTAAACTGCCTGATAGCGTCCTACGTGAATTTGATATCCAATTATTTGCGTTATGAATTTTCATACATCTTCTCATCATTCTTCGGATTTCCATCACGGTCTCGTTCACTGCAACTTAATGCAGCTTAATTATAGGTGCAATAAAATCTGAAACAAACAAACACCAGAAAATATAACGGCAGCACAAGTCTTGCCAATATAACGTAAGTTAAACGTTAATGGTTTCAACTATCTGGACGATGATATTAAATGAGTAACACTGTTACCTTAGAATATGTACGAGATTTATAACTAGCGAATATGAATTGAGAAAAACATTATTTGTATGAGTAAAACGTGTGTGCATATAAACCCTAACCTTTTATTGAATAATTTCAATTCATTATAATTCTGTAGGAAACTTGCATTGACAAGTATACAACGTACTGAATTTAAAGGGACGGGTAAGCTATTTTTTATACCAATCATACTTTAGTCTCCAGAAACTGGAATTTTTTAGAGTGAGCTAATCAGTAATAGTGTTCACAGCTCACCGTCAAAATTTAAGCCTTCCAATCCATGTGTGTCCAGAATTATCTGCGTTTGATTGTTAAAATGACGACTCGTCATATATCTGTGATATATAGAAAGGACATATGTAGAAATAGTGAGTAAAATTCCTAATTTGAAGTGTTTTAAGGAATTATGTGATTTTCTTACCATCTAGTACTTCTGAAGACTATATACATATATTCAAGACTAAAATCACCCCTCTCCAAAAAAATAAATAAATAAATAAATAAAATGGCACACCCGTCCCTTTAAAGTGACTTATAGGCCCAAGCGGTCGGGTGGTTATAAATAGTGTGCTTATATTTATGTATATAGAACTCGTTAATTCTTATACTACATGTCACTATAATAATAAATAAATAATAATGATAATAAACACAATTACAATTCAATTCAACTCTCAAATAGAATGGGTTACTAGGCTGAAATAGGTCATTTGTCTGAAGATCTTTATTTGTCAAACTAAGCATTCAAATTACATTTGAAATTTTAGAAATGGTTTTAAATGTAAATAGAAGGTTCAGTTCAAATAATATAGCCTTTTTTAAAAATCAACTTATCAAGTCGAGGAATTTCCATTTAAGAAGCATACGTAGTTTCGTACGAAAGCAATATCTTTTATATTCAATTTTATACTAAAACATAATAAACTATTATACTATTTAATGGGTTTATTTTTATCAGAAGTCGGCATAGGTTAGCGACAGTATGTTTCGGACTACTATGAATTATAATTATATAATATTAAATTTTCACCTCAGTCCATCGAAATCAATCTTCGCAATTCGAACTATCTATTCATTAAAATCAACATGTAACATAAATTACAAAGTTTTCTAAACATCTATACTGTAACACCTTGCTACTTTAAAGGTGACTGCAAGAGGGCTTTCTAAACATGTATGATTATAAAGTTAATAAATAACTATACCTGTATATAATATTGGTTTTTACATTCAACTAAACGATATAAGTCAAGCGTTATATTTCATATATTACCATGTCATGTTGTACTTGCAGTCTCGTTTACAGCTCCGTCGCCAGGAATGAATTGGAACTGTTTTCTATTTGGCTCACTGACCCATTTCTCAGCTGTTACTCGGATATTTGACCTAGTTATTCTATTGGAACTGTTTTCTATTTGGCCCATTGATCCATATCTCAATTGTTACTCGGGTATTTGACCTAGTTATTCTATTGAAACTGTTTTTTATTTGGCTCACTGATCCACATCTCAGCTGTTACTCGGATATTTGACCTAGTTATTCTATTGAAACTGTTTTCAATTTGGCCCATTGACCCATATCTCAGCTGTTACCCGGATATTTGACCTAGTTATTCTATTGAAACTGTTTTGTATTTAGCTCACTGACCCACATCTCAGCTGTTACTCGGGTATTTGACCTAGTTATTCTATTGAAACTGTTTTCTATTTGGCTCACTGACCCATATCTCAGCTGTTACTCGGATATTTGACCTAGTTATTCTATTGAAACTGTTTTCTATTTGGCTCACTGACCCACATCTCAGCTGTTACTCGGGTATTCGACCTAGTTATTCTATTGAAACTGTTTTCTATTTGACCCACTGATCCACATCTCAGCTGTTACTCGGATATTTGACCTAGTTATTCTATTGAAACTGTTTTCTATTTGGCTCACTGACCCACATCTCAGCTGTTACTCGGGTATTCGACCTAGTTATTCTATTGAAACTGTTTTGTATTTGACCCATTGACCCACATCTCAGCTGTTACTCGGGTATTTGACCTAGTTATTCTATTGAAACTGTTTTCTATTTGGCTCACTGACCCATATCTGAGCTGTTACTCGGATATTTGACCTAGTTATTCTATTGAAACTGTTTTCTATTTGACCCACTGATCCATATCTCAGCTGTTACTCGGATATTTGACCTAGTTATTCTATTGAAACTGTTTTCTATTTGGCTCACTGACCCATATCTCAGCTGTTACTCGGATATTTGACCTAGTTATTCTATTGAAACTGTTTTCTATTTGACCCACTGATCCACATCTCAGCTGTTACTCGGATATTTGACCTAGTTATTCTATTGAATCTGTTTTCTATTTGGCTCACTGACCCATATCTCAGCTGTTACTCGGGTATTTGACCTAGTTATTCTATTGAAACTGTTTTCTATTTGACCCATTGACCCATATCTCAGCTGTTACTCGGGTATTTGACCTAGTTGTTCTATTGAAACTGTTTTCTATTTGGCCCATTGACCCATATCTCAGCTGTTACTCGGGTATTTGACCTAGTTATTCTATTGAAACTGTTTTCTATTTGACCCACTGACCCATATCTCAGCTGTTACTCGGATATTTGACCTAGTTATTCTATTGAAACTGTTTTCTATTTGGCTCACTGACCCATATTTCAGCTGTTACTCGGGTATTTGACCTAGTTATTCTATTGAAACTGTTTTCTATTTGACCCATTGACCCATATCTCAGCTGTTACCCGGATATTTGACCTAGTTATTCTATTGAAACTGTTTTGTATTTGGCCCATTGATCCACATCTCAATTGTTACTCTGGTATTTGACCTAGTTATTCTATTGAAACTGTTTTCTATTTGACCCATTGACCCATATCTCGGCTGTTACTCGGATATTTGACCTAGTTATTCTATTGAAACTGTTTTGTATTTAGCTCACTGACCCATATCTCAGCTGTTACTCGGGTATTTGACCTAGTTTTTCTATTGAAACTGTTTTCTATTTGACCCATTGATCCATATCTCAGCTGTTACTCGGATATTTGACCTAGTTATTCTATTGAAACTGTTTTCTATTTGACCCGTTGACCCACATCTCAGCTGTTACTCGGATATTTGACTTAATGGATCTTTTTTGTACTTGATCAATTTCTCGATGTTTTGATCTGTCACAAGACATTGCTTTTCTTAGTTGGTTTGTTCAGTAACAATAGACCGGCTAGGAAGCACTGATATAGTTTCAATTTGTATTTCAATGTTTCTTAAAAATCTATCAATCTTGTAGACCTATCAAACTGAATTACTCTTCGTATTTTAAAGGAACGGGTTTGCCATTGGTTTGATCAATCGTACCTTAGTCTCAGAAACTGGATTTCTTTTAGCAAAACTAATGAATAATAGTGATCATAGCTTGCTGTGAACATTTTTTCACCTCAAATCCATGTTTGTCCAGAATTTTATCAGTGAAAATTTATTTTATTATTGTGTGATATACGTATACAGACATCGATACATTATCCAATTTAAATAATCTATATAAGTATAGCCAAGTGACCTAATTTCGCGCGAACCTTATTTCGTGCATCTCCGGAAATTTATATGTGCGACCTCGCATGACCTCTGCATTTGCATGTTTTGAAAACCATGGGTTATCTCTACAAGAACTTTTTCCTATCGTTTCAAAGCAAGTCAAATTTATTATCTATTTCTAACATAAACAAAATGGCGGATTTCAGTTATTACCAAATATCAAAATTTTTTTATCGGCCAAATTTCCTTATAATTCCCCAGTTGTAATCGGAATTCCAAGTGTCGTCTGTTAGAATATATTCCAGTGAAGTAAGTCAAGTGAGAAAATAGCGGATTCCATGTCAGCAAAAAAATTTTATGGAACACAATGTGGAACATATTCTATTGTTGTTTCAATGAGTTTTAACGATAATTACTCTTACGTTTTCCTTATCTTATTTTGACAGTCACTATTTTATTCTTCAAATGATTGTTCTTTGAAGGAATTATCACTAGTTATAATGAATTTAATGAATTGATATTAAAGATAAATACTAAGAGAAGTTAATTATACCACCTGGTATCCATACAACGTATTTTCTTGACTTATTTATAGATCACACATTTTACACGAAACTAGGTGACGCATTTTGCAGCCGTTGTCGAGTTAGTTACTCATGAAATATGGGTCAAAGTGAAGGATTCATAAAGAAAATCGAAACAAACCAATTGTAATTATTTTGTAGAATATATGAAGAAACATCTAAGACATAAAAAAAAAATTTCCGTTTTTCAATTTTGACTAAATTCGGTGTTGAATCCTTATATGTACGAATATAGGTTACACGACTATATTTAGGTGTCATTGTGCTTATTTATTGGTGTAACCTATTTTCGTACATATAAGGATTCAACACCGAATTTAGTCAAAATTGAAAAACGGAGTCGTGTACTCTATGAGCATAGAAGGAAAATATGAAAATATGAGGAAATGATTAAATGCAATATAGTTTTGTTCATATTTACATATTTTACGAGTTCGAATGTAGGTCAGGATGTTTCGGATAGCTTATATCAAAAAGGTACCTTAATTGGCTCTATTTATTCATTAATTTATATATCTCTATAGTAGAATGAATATTATAAATTACAGGTTAAATCAATTGGAGTGAAACATTAAAATTATTATAGCAGTTTTGATTGATTTACTTTTAAATTTTCACAACATCTGCTACTGTTCTGTCAAAACTAGTGTAATAA